CCAAACCCTTCATCCCGTGGTGCACTGCCCATGAACCTGTATGTGGAAGTGAACTTTTCTTACTAAAAACAAACCCCTGCATATTAAAGAATAGATGCTTTCAGAGTCCCTTGATGGTCAGTGTGGCAGGAAGTGGAAAACACACACACTGTTTTATTTTGATTCTTTTGTCTTGTCTTGCTGATACAGTGCTTTTCTCAGATTCCATGTCCAAGGGAACTCTGTTCTTATTCTGTGCTTCTGTCACATTTTGGTAGTTCTTGCAATTTATGGTGATCTTGCCTGTCATGGTGGTCTGGGACTCTATTGCCTTCATGGGTTTGAGGTACCGTGAACTACCTGTGAACTAGCAAACGCTGTCTGAGTTCTGATCACTCTGCAAACCAGTCTCCTTCTCTGGCTGCCCCACTATGTAGCATAAGTACTGAAATCTGACGAGTTAGTCTCCTGGTGGTGTTCTTTAAGCACTAGGTGAAAGGTCTGTCACAACTTCCATTTCAAGCCAAAGCTGGAAATGATTCCACTTACTGAGGAAAGCATTTCACAGCTGAGCGGGAGCAAAACTGAGGCCTCTCCTCCACTAGCTAGCCTAATGAACAGGGAAGGTTCTGGAAGGAGATGCCAGACAGTGAACAGTGAATGATGAGAGAGGCAGCCATTGCTGATGTGGGGAAAACCTCAGTGGTTTGTAGAGCAAGCATTCCCCTCTTCCACAGCCTAGACCAGAACAAGATCCTCAAGTCTAGGTGTGGTGTGTGCGCTAGTGAGGCAGACACCCAGCAGATCCTGGCTCTGGAGGCCAGCCTGTGGCCAGCCATAACAGTCTGGCTTGTAAATTCCAGGCCAGTGAAAGACGCTGTCTCAAAGAAATACAGAAGGAACCTGAAGAAGGACATCCTGCGAGGTTGACTTCTGACCTCCATGTACACATACATATATGTACACTCTCACCACACAAATACACACATAGAAAGATCCACCATGCCCCTTAATCCTGTGAAGGCTAAGAGAGGTAAGAATCTTGAAGATGAAAGAACAAAAACTATCAGAGGTTGGCTCATGAGGTTGAAGGGAAAACATGTCTCTATACCACAGGGACGCTGGTGAAGTAGTCAGTGCCAATACAGGAGTTGCACAGAGCAGGCTTTTCAAAGGTCTCACTAAAATTGTTGATGACAGTACTGTAGCCACTAGCAGATTTCCCACATAGATGGAATAGCTTTCCATTGGACAAAGATGTCATCCAGGACTGTCATAGAGAAGAAGGAGAAGATAATGTCTAGCTTCAAGACTTCAAAGCACAGGCCAGCTCTCTTGTTAGGAGTTCATGATCTTTGCTGTTCCAAAAGTCCTGGGGACCACTGAGGACAATAACTGTTCTACTCAAATCATGCTATCAGTGAACAAGGAAACCAGATGAGAGGACATCTGTTTATGGCATGGTTTTATCCTGGTGTTGAGATCTACTGCTCATTGGTAGAAAAGATTAATTTCTTGGTATCAATATTCCTTAGCAATGTACCTGATCACACAAGATCTCAGTGGAAATGTACAAGGAGATTGAGGATGCTTTCCTGCCAGCCACTTCTGTAGCCATGGGGCACTTTGCTACCTGCTTTCTGGGTCACTAGCTCAAGGATCAAGTGACGTTTGGTGAGTAACCTCATTATCTAAAAATTACTTTTCGTAGGACTATCATAGGTGGTGTCATAGGTGGTGGTTCTGCGTGGAAGAACTTCCCAGGAAGGACTTTTTTGCCCTAGACACCACTGAGACAGCTGTGATCCCAGGCAGGAGGTTGAAACATCAAGATGAACAGCGGTTTGGAAGAAGCAGATGACTGGAGGTCAGAGCTGGCAGTGGTGCCCAGAGCTGACTCTGATTCACTGTAGTACCATGGAAGAGCTCAAGCAGAGTGGGAGCACTCTTGCAGAGGGGTACAGTCATGTCCTGAGATGGAATCTGTTCCAAGGGAAGGTCTGAGAATGCTATCAGGTGACAATGTAGGGTCATTGCCCTCTACAGAGAATTCTGAAAAGTTGATAGGCAAAATGAATATCATTGTCTTCATATAGTAAGACATTATCAAAGCCACCCCCACCTCCAGGAATACCCTTTCCATAAGTCAGCAGTCTTATCAGCAATGAGACAAGATCTTCCTTGGCTGTGACATTGTGGAATGCTGTACCTAAGGTAGAGTCACACTGGCTACCTATATACAACATTAGATTCCATTCTTGGAGCTTCTCTGCTGCCCCAATTGGTGTGTAAGCTGAAGCCAAGATTGTTCTAGAATTATCAGTTATGGATTTGTGAGCTTTAGCACGTCATTACAATAGTTCTAATTCTTTCAGAATAACGTGTGCAACAGTGGCTTTCTTAACCTTCATTCTGCTTCTCTTCAGAGGACTCTGAGACCCCACTAACATATCAGTTCAGCACCCCCTAAACTGCAATCCCTCAGACTCCCAAATAAGGCCCTTTATGTTTCAGAGTCAATGCTGATCTTTGTCTGATACAGCACAAAGTTGATAGCTCTGAAGCCCCCAAGCACCATGGGCCTTGTTCACAATAAAGTCTTTTAAATGAAAGTACATACATTTTGGGGCAGTGCCTTTGTGTGTTTAATAGATACCAGTATAGTAGAAGCATAGCTTTCACGTGCACTGGGAAACCAAAGTATTCATGTGACAGACACCTTGGACCTCTCAGGGACATCTTCATCTTGTTGTGAGGTCTTGCTTTAGAATGGAAGGCAGTCCTTCCTGGTGAAGTAACTTCTCTTACAGAAGTGGCAGGAGGAAGGGGCAGAGGAAGTGCCAGGTGATGCTCCTTCAAGGCTCAGCCTCTGTTCTCTCTCACTCCACACTGGATGGAGCAGGCATCAGCACATTATCCCTCAGAATCTTTCCAATTCCTGAAGACCCCACTTAGACTCCTCTTAGCACATGCTCTTCTCTGGTGTTTTCTGTCTGATGGGACAGATGATAGCCCGGTTCTTTTTTCATGCTCCTCTTCCCACGATGACTGCCTGAGAGCAGAATTTTAAGATTTCAGAACTTTGTGTACAGATCTCAGAAATGCAGCAATTTATTAATGCATTTCTCCCATCACTAATGGAAAAGGGACTCGCCAAAGCAGGTGGGAAATGGAGGGGGAGGGTCTGCTGTAAGGGAGACTTTCATATTTTCTTCCCTGCTACAAACATACCATTAAAAGGCCCTGATGTTTTATCTGTTTGTACCTGAGAGAGACTTTATTCCCTACTAATGGTGGGAAATTAAGGCTGTGCTCTCTCGTCATTGTTCTGGGTGTACCCTTCTTTATTTTGAAGGCTGATTATACTTTGTCAATAGAAAGAGGTGGTTTGGCAGATAAGGCTTAAAACTGCGGCATCTCTTGCTCAAAATGAACCTCACCTTTCCTCTGGAAAGTATCTTAAAGGCAGCTATTTTAAAGATGAAGGGGACACACAATATTTCTTTAAGCATGAAAATAAAAGCATGATAACAACCATGACACCTTAATGGTGTGTTTGGGAGAATCTCAGAAGGTGCCGAGCCTGGTCTGGAAAAGCCCCGGATACTGTGCACAGTGTGTGGTGGGTGGCTGCAGGTTATATATAGCAGACGCACCTAGTGCTGCTGTGCTGTTTTGGAGGCAAAGCTTGATTACTTGTGAAGCTGCAAGCAGTTCAGTGGGGGTTCAGGGAAGAGGTGGGGCTGCTGTGGGAATGTCTAAAAAAGAGTGGGCATTCCTTTGAGCAGGCAGCCTTCCATGTCGATGTCACCAGCAAATGCATGCATTCTTTTATGTGTCGCAGTTAAGGGTGGCTGCATCCTGGTGGGTTCCTAGAATATTCATCAATGGCATCTCACTGTCTAAGATAAGTATCAGAGGTTATCAGCCTTTTATTTATTCTTTGGCAATTTGTAAGTGTATATGTTGATTTTACCCACCCCAGCTCTCCTTGCCCCTTCCCCAATATTCCCAACATGTTTCCCTTCCGCCTTCATTTGACCAATTTGTGCTGCCTGCTGAAAAGTGGTTCCATCTTGTTGGCATGATTCTATTTGGATCTTGTACAGATACCTGCAGCTGCAGTGAGCTCATGAGAGCAACGGCCGTGTGTGTTCAGAAGGCAGCGCTGCTCACACCACCTCCACCCTTGTCCCCAGCTCTCATGCTCTTTGAACCTCTGCTTCTGCGATATTCCCTAAAGTTTGGCAGGAGTTTGGACAGATGTTTCTCCTGACCTTTGGCAGGAGTTTGTATGGATGTCCCATTTACGGCTGAGTTCTCAATAATCACTGTTCTTATCCTTAGTTTTTATCCTTAAGTTCTGAACAGCATTTGTTATCCCCTCCAGCACGGCTCTTGGCTCAAAGGCACACACACAGGGCCTTCCCACCACCATCCCACCTCACTAAGGTTTCTATTGCTATGATGGAGATCATGGCCAATGCAGCTTGGGAATAGAAGGGTTTATTTCAGCTCACAGTTCCATATCACAGTCAAGCAATGAGGGAAGTCAGGATGGAGCCTGGAGGCAGGAACTGAAGAAGAGGTGGAGTGCTGCTTACTGGCTTGTTCCTCACGGCTTGCTCAGCCTGCTTTCTTATAGCACCCAGGCCCACCATCCCAGGGATGACTCTGTCTTCAGTGAGCTGGGCTCTGGCACATCATCGATCAAGAAAATATGCCCCAGTCTTGCCCACAGACCACCCTGGAAAGGACATTTTTCTCCACTGAGATTTCCTTTCCATAATGAGTCTACCTTGGGTTGACTTGACATAAAACTAGGCAGCACACACCCAGAGTCCCATAGATTGCTCTGTAGAAGGGCTGGATCTTATCCACATTATAAGACAGAGGTAGGGTATCAACTCTACTGGTCCATTTTAGGCTTGTGCATTGAACATGCAACCACCCTCCCCCCCACCCTGTGGCAATAAGGAATTTCTCTGATGAAGGCTGAGTACAACACTAATTTATGGCTATAAACATTGGCATTTAGAATAACCAGGGCCTGTAAAAGAAAACTGGTACTTGTAGCTGAAGCCAGTGTGATCACGGCAATTCCATTCTGGCTCTGAATGGGTGGCTGATGCTAAGCCAGGCTGGAAAGCACAGAGTGCCATGAACCTGCTTCATTCTGCCACACACACTCCATCTGGGAGGTGTTTTACCAGGACAGCCATGTGTGCCTGGGTTATCGGGACCTTGAGGCTTGCTGCATCAACATTTAATGAGCTTTATGTATCCCTCACAACAGAATAATTCTCCTCTCCGAAGCCATGGTCATTTTCAGCCTTGCCTCTGCCTCCCTCCTAGTGCCAGCAAGACTGTGCCTGGCATTTCTGAACTACTGCCGCCTTCCAGTCTTGAGTGACACAGAGGCCGTGCTGTCTGCTTTAGCTGCAGTAGCAAATTTGCCATGGAACCTTGATTGCTTTCCGATATCATTTCCAGGTTAGCCGTCCATGCATGATGGATAGCCCATCCTCAATTTGGGGTCGACAGATGATGTGACCCCCGCCGGCTGTGCTGCTTGAGGGTGCACTTGCCTCCCTCAGGAGTGTCAGTGTCTACACTCAGCCTGATTCTCATTCATATCTAAACCAGGAGAGATTCTAGGCAAGCTGAAGGTCACCATGGGCATCCACAGTGGAAGCTAGATCCTCACTAACTGCCAGACAAGTCTATGCTAGGCTACAGAGGCGATATGAAAGAGAACTACCCAGTCCTTCAGAACAAGGCTGGGCTCAGAGGCCAGAGCAGACAGGGGATGGGAGTGCTCAGACCCTCACGTGCAGTCTGGGTTTAATGTTCTGAGCTAGTGTTTTCCAGTCTGACTCACGGAGGATTCTTCTGACAAACTGGTCTCCTACCTCTCTTCTGCCTACCTACCTTTGGTCTCATCTTGGGAGCTTTGACATCTGATAGATGCAAAGGAGAAAGCTCTCAGGAGCACCAGCTCTGCCCTGCTCCACATTGCCCCTCCCAGTGCAGCAGGCTGGTGATTCAGTGCAGGTTTTTGTTAAGGTGAAGCTCTCGATGCTGCAGGTCTGGTGTTTACACAGCCTCCATTGATGGTTTTCTAAGTTTCTGACAGATTCAAGTGATGGTGTCTGTGGAGGATGCCCTTAGGTTGGGGGTTAAAAGTATGCTTAAAGTAATAATGCTAGACAAGCCTACAACCCAAGATGGCAGTGCTATGTTGGCCAACAGATGAAGCTTAGGTCTATGGAACACAATAGAGAAGCAAGGCAATGGACCTTCAGCAATGTGGCCAAGGTGACGGTGTTGGCCAACAGATGAAGTGTAGGTCTATAGAACACAATAGAAAGACAAGCAATGGATCTTCAGCAACATGGCTTGATTGATTTTCGACATACAAAAACAATTTCCTGGCGTGAAGACTGTGTTCTGAGAGTGACCCAAAATGTAAATAATGGTGAACCTGAGCAATGCATCCCTTACACAAAATTTGTCAAATGAACAACAGACTTAAGAGCAGAATATAATGCTGCAAACTTTTATTGAAAAGTCACAAGAGAAACTTATTAAGATCTAGGGAGAAGCATGCAGTTCTTAAACTTAGCACCAAAAGTATGATCTTTAAGATATCAGAAACCACCCAACAACGCACAGTGTGTCTTGGAAATCCAGTGAAGAGTACAGGGAGGACACTAGAGTGGGAGAGAATATCTGTACTATATAGATAGAGGGCTAGAGTCTATAATACATGAAGACCCCTCTTAACTCAGTGTAAGTAAAAGAAATAATTGCACAATGGGAAAAGGGTATTTCAACTACAGAGTCTGAAAATGTCAGCAGTGCACGTGCGAAGATGCTGAACCCTGTTAGCCAATAAGAAGTGTAACGGTACCACCACACTCAGCTATCCTGTCGAGACACACTATGGTAAGGCTGCTGAGACTGAGTCCTCCATTGCATATGATGGGAATGTGACATGAAACACTCTGGAAAACAGCTTGGCAGGTTCCTGTAACTGTCTACACAGTCACCACATGATCCAGAAAAGTCACTCAGACATTTCTCCCAGAGAAATAAAACATTATATTTGTACAAAACCCGTGTATGAATATTCATAGATGCATTACTTATAATGGCTCCAAAATGGAGAAAAAAAACCCACATGTCTTTCAATGATCAAATGCTTAAATAAATTGAGAGACATATGCAGGATGGAATATAGCTCAGCAATAAATGACATTGCACTTCGATATGTTTAATCAGATGTGGGAAATCTCTAGAGAATTAAGCACGGGGAAAGAACCTCAAGTCCACGGTTTACACCCTTGATGATTTTATTTACAGATGAGTTAATCTTCACTGTCAACTTATCTGGACTGAGTAGATGTGTGAAAGCATTTTAGGAGAAATTCAAGTGCAGAGGGAAGACTCCAAATGTGGGTGCTACCATTCCCTGAGCTGGGGAACTCACAGAGGAAGGATAGGTACCCTAAGCAGTTGGCTGCCAGAAGAGCTCCTGTGGGTCATTTGGCAACAGGAGCAGCAGAGAAGAATCGGGCGCTGTGACAGTCCATAAGCTTTCCTTGATCACATGAATCTACACTTTCTGCTCTGACCTAGAGGACTGGCTTTGACTTTTCCTGGGGAGGTGGGAGGGTGGACTTTTCTGTGCACCGAGAAGGGGAGTGGCTGTGCTGCATGCAGGGTTTCTTCCTCCTTCAACATGACTCTGTGATCCTGCTTTTTCCTGTCTATGAGCAAAAAGCTGAGGCACAGAACACAAACTTAGAGCTAATCTCATCATAAGAAACAAAGGTCACCCCACCCAGAGCAAACACAGCTTTATTACTTCTGATGGGGGCTATCCTGAACCTTAAATTAGTTCCTGGGAAAGAGAAGTTGTTTGCCTGTTTCCTCCTCTCACTTAAACCAACAGTGGCGCTCTCTGAAGAGAGTGCTCTCCGCCGAATTCTGGTATTTCAATAAATTCCAATGTGCTGCTATAGTAACTGTCTTAGCTATGATTAATGTCGGAACATTAGGAGAGCATGTTATTATTATTCTAAATTAGGTTTTGCTTGAATTAATTTTTATGCATGGTTACTAAGATGTAAAAGACTTTCTGAATTGCAAATTGTAACATCCCTGCTTTGGGGGTGAGATTGGAAACACAGGAGCCCTCCTGCTGGAAGGATTTCCAGTTAGAGTATTTGCCTAAGGGCCAACATATTATTTAGTTAGTAGCCTGCTAAGAAAATGCAGCTTGACACCATGGATCCTTTAGTTAACGGTGCTTTGCATCACCACCTGAGCCTACTTTGTGGAGAAACACAATAGATATCAATATGCTGTCACGTTCATGATGTGAGGAGTAGGCGAAGAGTCAGGCTGCCCCAATGGAGCCCACGCATGTCACTTTATTTTCTCTTTTGAAATCTTTATACCAAAATGATGGGACTCACACGCTGGAAATCGTAGTCGAATGCTTACTGGGCACTTAGCAGACCTCCGAGGCTGCCTTTTGCTGCTGTAATAAAACACCAGCCAAAAGCCACTTGTGGAGGAAATGGTTTATTTCATCTTACAACTTCCAGGTCACATTCCATCACTTAGAGAATTCAGGGCAAGAACTCAAGGCAGGACCGTGGGCACAGGACTGGAAGCAGAGGCCATGGAGGAGTGGCGCTGACTGGCTTGCTCATTATGGCTTACTCAGGCTGCTCAGACGATGGCAAGTAGGTCATGGAAATATGGACTGCAGGTTTGAGTGATGTTGGGAGCAGAGACCGGAGAGAATTAGCTGAATGTTGTGTGAGTGAAAAAGAGTTTTCTGATGTAGTGAAAAGAGAAGACCTTGGGAATGCCAAACCCCAGCTTCCTAGTTCTGGTTAATCAGTTGAATTAGATAGTTGGACAGGGAACCATGGAGTTGGGGAGGCCCGGGTCAGGAGTAGGCCCTGGGGGCTATTCAGTCTGGTAACACCAGGAAGCAGAGGCTTGGATATTCACTGAACTGAAACCTGAACTTTGTGAGACCCAAGTGTGGTGGCAAGCTTTAATTGTCAGCTTGAAACAACCTAGGATCGCCTGGGAATTCCTCATTGAGGGATTGTCTTTATCAAGTTGGCCTATGGGCATGTCTGTGGAGAATTGTCTTGTTTGCCTAAATGACTATGGAAGGCCCCATTTCATGGGATGGTCACTGGACTGTGCAAGAGTGGAGAAAGTGAGCTGAGTACCAGGAAGTTTGTGTGCACTCACTGCTCCCTGTTCTGGTCTACGATGTGAGAGGACTTAACACTTCAAGTTCCTGCCGTTTTTTCCACTATGATGGAACATTTGTTACCTGGCACTATGAAGGGAAATAAACCCTCTCTTCCCTAAGTGGCCTTTTGTTAGCGTGTTTTATCACAGCGACAGAAATGCAACTAGTGGAATAACATTGACAGACACTCAGCTTGCATCCCTATTTCTGTCTCCTCAGAGGAGTTCTGTCTAAGAAATCATGCAGCGCATAAATGTGGATCTAGGTTTGGACACTTCTCAACCTCAGGTATTTGAGATGCACATGTTACCCTGCCAGGAGCTCATTGGTTTTTATTTCTGCTTGAGAAAGGTGAGTAACAGTGGGCAGGACCCGAGGGGAGGCACCTCTGCCCACCTCCTGCCTGGTCAACCTCCTAGATCAGGCGCTTGCTATTTTGGAAAATACACTCAAACACTTTTTGTGCCTTTTCACTTTCATGTCTTTTGGGTAAACACCAAGGTTTCCAGAACCTGAGGGTAAGAACATCTTTAATTTTATGAGAAACTCCCAGGTAATTTTCTCTTTGAAAAAGATGCGATAGGGAAAAACAGAAACTCTCGTGCTTGGCGGCGGCTTCGCTCCTGTATTTATTAGTTCTGGCTCTCTCTTTCCTGTAGATCACGGTTCTTACTTGTTATCGGTGCTCTGCAGCCCAAGGCACTTTCCTCGTGTCCCTACCTCTGTAATTAGCTGGCAATAAATCGTCTCAGATTTTATTTGGTTGAAAATATCTTCACTTAATGCTCCCCTTGAAAGGTCTTTAGGCCAGGTATAGAATTCTGGATTGATTTCTTTTCCTCCAGTAGTGGAGAAATCATTGGATTGTTTTCAAGGGTCTTCTGTTCCAGAGAGGGATTTGTGTTACTGTGTTCCTTTTGAATTTAGTTGTTTGTCTTCCTTATCTTTCAGGAGCCATCAGCTGCCAAGCTCCGTGTTTTCCAGTATTCTTGAGGGTTGGCTGCAGGATGAGGTTTTCCCACCGTCCAGATCCAGATTTCAGGTAAGGTTACATATAGATAAACGAACCATAAATCAAAGATGTTAAAAATGTGCTTAGTAACTTAACTGGCTTAACAACACAGCCCTTAGAGATTATTTACCCTCTTGTCAAAATTCAAACTTCGTGGTTCTGCTTTTACTGAATATGTGATGTTCTCACACCATCATAAAGAAGAAAAATCTTAAGTCATTCCACAGCGAAGCCAGCGGGACTCTCTCCCCTCACTCCCTATCCCCCAGCACTTCCAGTCTGCATGCTGTGCCAGCTTTCCCCTAGCTTCCTAGAGATCTCTGACTGATACCCTGGCTAAGAACCTGCAGATATTCTCTGCTGTGTCCTGGGGACTGATATTCTGAGGAGCTGTCTCTTGCCTGGTGTGTTAGTCAGGGTTCTCCAGAGGAACTGAGCTAATACAATGAATATACATAATATACACACATATATACATATATATGTATATATATGTATATACATGTACACACACACACATACACACACACACACACATACACACACACACACACACACACACAGAATGGCTTACAGGCTGTGGTCCAACTAGTACAACAATGGCTGTCTACTAATGAATGATCCAAGAATCCAGTAGTTGTTCAGTCCATAAGATTGAGGTCTTAACTGGTCTTCAGTACACACTGGAATCCTAAAGAAGTAGGCTCTAATGCCAGTGAAGGAATGGACTTGCCAGCAAGGATGAAATCAAGCAGGCAAAGACAGCAAATTTCCTTCTTTATATAGGCTGCCAGCAGAAGGTGAGGCTCAGAATAGAGGTGGATTTTCCCACCTTAAAAGATCTGGATTGAAGATGTGTGTATCTTCTTACCTCAAAAGATTCAATTAAGAAAAGTCCTTCACAGGTGTTCCCATCTGCTTGGACTTCAGTTAATTCTAGATGTAGTCAAGTTGACAAAGAAGAATAGCTTCACAGAGGTCAGGAGAGATGACTCAGCAGTTAAAAGCACTGGCTGTTCTTCCAGAGGACCCAGGTTCAATTCCCAGCACCCACATGGCCTCTCACAACTGTCTGTAACTCCAGTTCCAGGGTACCAGACACCCTCACACAGACACACATGCAAACAAAATACCAGTGCACACACAAAAAAGAATAGCCATCACAAGTACACCCTTGTCTACTTGACACACAATCTTATCATATTATGTCATGCTTAATTTCCAAATGAAAACAATAACCAGGTCATAATTACACCTAACAGGATATAACTATGCCACATACAACCTCAAATGCATTATAAATTTAGAATCAGTGGCAATATCCCTTGAGGGACATTTGTTTATTATTTCAAACTTTAATATGATAACCACTGATATTCCCTTAATTGATGTCACATTATATGATAAGAAATCAAGGAAAGAAAACAAAAATACATGCACAGACACATTCTTAAAAAAATATGACAGAGGCACTCATGTCAATTATAATCCTCATTTCTGCAACTGTTCTCATGGCCTTAGCTGGGATGTATAACTGCTTTTCTTTACTGCCCGTTCTGTGCTCCCTACACCTTCAGCAAGCACTTCAGCAGGCCTTGGTTCCTTCCCTGGAGGAGTGACCCATTCCTTCCTTCCTGACAGGTCTGTACCCTGGATTAGGTTGTGGCAGTCTACCATCGACTTTACTCACAGGACAAGGGTGAAGGTTACGGGCCGAAGGTCTATGGAAGAGGAGTCAGAATCTCCCATGGTAGCAGAGCCACTTAAGCAGTCAGGCAGTGAGGAGTGGAAACCAACCCTAGCCAGCCCTGTCACAGCCACAAAAATTTCTGAGTGGTCTTGTAAGTGCTGATAGGGGCCCAGGGCTCCAGACGTCTTCAGGTGCTGTGGATGAGAAATCCCATAAGCTATCTGCTAGTGCTTAGTGATGTAAATTATGTGTATGTGCTCAGAAGCAGGACCTGGCTCCTGCAAATGAGTATATATGAATGTGTGTATACATATGTATGTATGTGTGTATATGGTGGTTTGAATGAAAAAGGCCCTCAAAGGGAGTGGCACTATTGTGGCCTTGTTTGAGGGAGTGTGTCATTGTGAGGGTGGGCTTTGAGGTCTCCTATGCTCAAGCCACACCCAGTGAGACAGTTCACTTCCTGTGGCCTGCTGATCAAGATGTAGAACTCTTAGCTCCTTCTCCGGCACCATGTCAGCCTGCATGCCATCACGGCTCACCATGATAATAATGAACTGAACCTTTGAACTGTAAGTGAGCCACCCAATTAAATTTTTCCTTTATAACAGTTGTCCTAATGGTCATGGTGTCTCTTCACAGCAATAGAAACCCTAAGACAGTATATACGCATATATGTGTAAATGTACATATATATGCATATATGTATGTATATATGTGTCTGTATCCATATGCATGCTTAAAGGTATAAATATAGATGTATATATTCTCAAAAAATCCTCACACACATTCATTCAGGTTTCATTCATGTGTGTTCAGGTAAATGTGGCCTTGGCTTGCTGGACCAGAGTTCTTGCTTGTACCAGATGTGGTACAAGCACAATGAACTACCTATGAAGAAAACAAAACACCCATCAATAACAATGTGCACATGTCTTTAAGAACAAATGGACATATACTCACGCAGACTCATACACATATATATATCATGCACACCCATACATATACACATGTCACACATAACATACCAATCACACACAACACACAATACACACAAAACACCCATACATACACACATAGCATACACATACATATCATACAAATACATACATATGCACACACCTCAAAAGATGTACCTCAACAGGAAGGACTGCTAGTGCCCAGGAAAGAGAGGTGTGAGTCGCACAGAGCAGTGTGTACTACTGTACATGGTCATTATTTCAATGCTCTGGACACCACAGTGTTGAGTTTTCTTGTACCCCTAAGGCTGTACTTGGCCATGGAGTCTGCTGGCTCAGGACCCTTGACTGCTGTAGGACAGAGCCCAGGTCGTGCCTGGCAGATGGAAGTGACATGACATTAAAATAAATACTTCAGTCAGTCAAGGAGAAAAGCATATACTTAACTAGGAATGTGCTTTAAAATCCCAGTTTGGGCCGCTGCATCTTTAGTTCTGACCTTTTGAAGGCGTACATACAGACCTCCCTGACAAAAACACCGTTCCATATGTGGCCGGCTCTGTCTTCCTCACCCCCAAACTGACCACATGCACACCTCTGACTCGACAGAAAAGACTTCCTTGCCCTCTGAGCATTCTTTCAGTGCCGCCTCCCCATCCTGGCAGTCCCGTCATCAGATAATTATCTGTAATGTTGGGATTCTCCTCTTGACTCTGAGTCCAGTGATTGTCTGTGATGTTACAGGCTCCCTGGCTCAGACACTGAGTAGGTACTTTATTATCACTGCAGGAACAATGAGTTGTTTGAATAAAGGCCAAAGTTGAGGGTTAGGCCACAATTATACTTTTGAGCTGTATGTATGAAAGGCTTGAAAGGGTAGAGGCTTGAAACTCCAGTGCTCATGCGACAGACCCCCAATTCCACTTAGAGGCCAGTTCCTGACCCTCATTAGTCATTCTAGGGGAAGCATATGAACCACTTCTCAGGTTTAACACTGAAGGCCCCTGGCCCACTCCACCCCCTTTCAGAGTGTTCCACCAACGAGAGGCAGGTAGATCTCACCCACATATGGCAGCAGGTATTTCATAGTTTTGAGCATGTGTTTCTTCAAAATAGAACAATTTGGCACGTATACCCTTAGCATCTGAGGTAGGAAAGAGTGAGCCGCCTGTTTTTTTATAAGTTGGCGACATTACTCCAGTCTTGCCTCTGAAACAGTGTCTTGCTTTTCTGTGCCTGGTGCTGGCTCACGCTTGTGCTTTTCTTGTGTGTTAAATGCATTAGTGTTTAGATTCAGAGCTCAGGCTCTCCTAGGGCTTCCTTTGAAAGGTCCTGTCTCCAGGAGGTATAGGCATTCATGATGGGCAGCAAAGACTGCAAACTCTGCTTTTGATTTTGAGTTCTGGGTCTCAATTCTGCCTTTTTGTCTTAGCTTTGAAAGGTTCCCAGTTGGGGAAGCGGAGTTGGACTCCATTGCTGTTGCCTTATTGTGTCTGTAGGTCCGTTACTTTCGGTTAGCTGTTGAATGATTTATTAGGTGGACAAGCTGTTAGAGTCTATGTCTTACGAATATATGAGAAATGTTTTCAATTTGGATGGATTTTTATGTGTGTTGTAGGCATGTGTACACTGGGTGTGGGTTGAAAGGGTAGTCTATAGCCAGCAATAATTAGAAATAGTTCATATTTGAATAAGACTTGTGTGAAGTATGCATGTGTATGTGTGTGCGTGTGTGTTCGTGTAGTATGTGTCCATATCTAGCAATAACTAATCTGCTGCCAGCAGACAAGGAAGCATTTATAAAATTGGGGTTGGGAACATGCTTTTCCCCCCATTTTTCTAAACCCAACATCCCTTTTTATTCCCTCACTATTTATAGTGTTTTCTTATCAAGCTTGCTCTTGCATGTCCTCAGGGCAATTTTGTCACTTTGAAAAGATATATTAAAATGAGTGATTCTGGCAGCACATAATCTATGACTTATGTGTTAATTATGTTTGCGTTCTTCAATATGTATTACACTGAGTGCTGGGCAGGATCCCTGGTGACCAGTCCCTAGTAACTCCATCCCTGAAGACAGATTTAGAGACCGGATATTTCCTCTGGTTTCCTAAGTGACATGCTGTGGATGTTAGCGTTTCTCAGAGATGACAGGCAGAGACAGCTAAAGGCTCTTTAATACGCAATGAAAACTACAGCTCTCATCCAACGGCATCCATTGAATTTTCTTTATCACTTCCAGCCCTGGAAGCAGAGTGCTAAGGTACTAATGGAGTAGATCTCGGGGTACAGAAATAACCCCATATTACAGTTTAAAAGACCTGAGTCGAGAAAAGCAGGTTCCCACAGAATACAAGCCTGACAGCTAAGACCCCCCCAGA